AGCCTGCATAATGAAGGATTTGTTGACAGAGGGCTTCATATCAAATCAGCAAAAAGGTAGAAAATGATCCAGTTTCAGGCATACTTGCTTGACTTGGGTCACCTTGGCCCTTCTAACACTCCTGACTATGGGCACAACATACCAGATGCTCTGCTCTTCTCGGGCCTTTATTGCTGCCACTTTTAAACTTCATCTATTAAAGCTTTCACCAAGAAGTCAAACAGCACAAGAATCCTCACTAATTTCACAGGAAAGAGGCATTCTTTATACATGAGGAAGATGATGGCTGTCGGAGACCAAACACCTATTCGGAAAGGTGCCTAAACATATGCCTGGTGTTAAGTGCATAAGCCCCGCTGTGAGTTCTCAAACAGTGAGAAGTGAACTGGAAGTAGAACACAATTCTATCTCCTCAGCACTTTGCAAGTGATACCCTAAGTTGTTTTAGAGCTCTCTTGATCTCCTACCTGTCCCCAGGAGGCAGCTCATTCTGGGGCCAGACATGACAGTGAAGAATGGTGAGTCCTCCTACCCCTATGTGGGGAGCTCAGGTTGGCACCGTCTAACTCTCCTGCGGGACATAAGCCTCTCCTACCTCAAACAGGTACGTTATCTTGTGTAGTCCTGACAGTACCAGCTGGTAGTAACATAGGACTAATTTTACGTAGTAAGCACTGTACTTAAGGCAATCAGATGTGTCGCTGCAGCGCTCTGACACTGCAAGTGAATAGGCTATGGTACTACAATAAACATATAGAAATATGTGACACAGTTCCTGGGCTTCCAAGGACTAAATAAATTAACGTCTGAGAGTTTTTTTAAAAATACTTGAGGCATTTTCTATAAGTGATATTTGGCAGTGATAGGTCCTTGCCTGACTTAATTCCTCAGTGATGCTTACTGGACTTTGCTTAACTTGATCAACACATACCTGAGCCCAAGCGACACTCTCCCATAAGCGACACATGTGAAAGACTCTTGTAAGTTGTAGTACATGAGTCCTTTAGCTCTCACTAAGGATCTTCCACAAAGCAGCAGCCCCACAGACCACAGGGGAATGACAGAAGGCGATCTTGGAGAAGCTGAACCTACATAGAGCTGAGCTAAAGTGTCTCCAGTGTGCTCATTTCATTTACATCTCATTCATTATGGAAACGACGTGTGAAAGTAGTTTCTAGAGCTACTTAGTGCAGGCTGCACATAGATTTAAAACCTATTCTGCTTTTTCAAGTCACTTACCTCCATAGAACTCTTGTTCGAAACCAATTATTTAGCTGCATTACTCAGACTTTGAATTCACTGCTGTATTAATGCAGCTTGGTCTAAACCACTACATATTTAAGACTGCTGAAGGGGAAGCCTTTAAAATGAAGGAAGACAGTAAAGAACCAACTTACCTGATTTATAGGACCATCAAGTTTCTACTCGTATTTATGCATGAAATGTCTACAAAATGCCAAACTGCATCAGATACATTTTCTTTTGTTAACATGCCTGCATCAGTCTATCAGTCTAGCCACTCACATGAAAAGAGACCCAAACATGAAAATGAAGAGGCAACTGGGAAAAAAAAAAGTAATTAATAACACTCACAGGAGCCTGCTTGCTATCAGCTGGGCTCTTTATCAGGCTTAAGAGATTGCCAATGGCAGCCACAGCTGTAAAATGTTACGTGTATGCAGCACCTAAACACCATCACTGCTTTTATGATGGGGAATAGAATGTAACCCCCTTCATTTGCCAATTGAGATTCTCATTTGATTGCCTGAAACACAAGCTTTCCCCCTTGAGATGCTGCGTGCAGATGCTCTCACTTAAAAGTTTGGGCCCAGTGCTGTGAGAGAAGTGAATATACACAAACACACCCCCCACCCCCAAGAGACAGATAGATGGACACATTCATACAAAAATCTCTATGGGAAATCGATTTATTCTGCTATTAGCCCATTAATTAAGAGTGGGTTTTTGCATACAGATGGCCACAGTCCACTCTGGCTTCTCCTTGAGCAGAGCTGAGGATCCTGCCCAGTGACCGATACCTTGAAGGGTGTGAGGGCAGGTAATGTCTCTTTCTGGTTTTGCCATAGATTTCCTATGTTACTTTGGGCAAATTACTTAACCTTGGTATTCTCCACGTCAATAAGGAATCCACCTTGCTCAGAGCACTTTGAGATCTACGGACAAAGAGCACTCTAAATATTAGGTATTATTTATAGTATTGCCCTATGGATAACAGGAAGCTACAGCTGTTAGAGACAGCAGGGACCTCTGAGCAAGCAGAAAGGCATAAATCTGAATGTCAGTATCCTTAGTGTTGTAGCTGGCGGCTGTTTTGTCCTAGGAGAACGTTTCAGTGGTTTGCACTACCAGATGAACTTGCTGTTAGTTCTTCATATTCCCCAGAGGCAGCTAACACAGAAATCTGGATTTACCATAGCGGCTCATTGGTAAAGCAATTCTGACAGCCTGCTCCCAGTGTGGGTTGTACCTGCTCTTTCCAAAGGAGAAAGATTGGCCATGCAGTGACGCTTTTGCAAGGCAACCTTGCACGCATGCATGCATCTGATCTGCACAGACTGCTAGCTGAGATTTGGCCACTTTCACCCTGACCTCCACATCAGTAAGGGTAAATCTCTGTGGACACAATGTAGTGATGTGTAAAAAGCACCCAAAATAGCTCCAGAATTGGAGGCAAGACTGTGGGCTAGAACACTGCTAATGCTGGGAGGCTGCAGTGCTTTGCTACGGCACCAAGGCTGCTTCCCTCACCTGAGCGCTCATCCAGAGCTAGTCTGGGCCCTGCACTGTGCTGTCCTCACTGTTGCACTTTGTCCTTGAGCTTGCATACAACTGAGTAATCCAGGCCTCGATAGGAGGTGCTGTAGGAAAGGAAAGACCATCTGATGCACAAGTATTGATCTCCAAAGTTATGGGCATTTTTGTGCTGTTTACACCAACTTATTCTTTTAAAATTGTCTTCAAAGGCATTTAGCCAAGTTGATCTTCCCAAGAGCACCAAAATCAGAAATTCACATATCAGTCTTTCAGGCTAGAAATATGCATGTGAATTTATTTGCAAATAGTTTCAAATCTTGGAAGGGTGACTTGGTGCAAATACATTTGTAGCATAACATGTTGTTGATGTTGTATCTTCTCCCCCAAACATTGCACAATGTAAACCTCTGTGACCAGATTGTGCCAACAGCATTAATTCACCGTTTCATCAAAGGACAAGTCTCCATATTGCTGCCAGTCTCCTTTAGGGTAAATGTTCTGACAGTGAAAGGAATGAGGTGTTCAGAGTAGGAAAAAAGATGAAGCCACTAAAATGCAAATTTTATTCACAGTTGGCATGTTTATAAATATATATATATTACATTCTTACAATCTACAGTACATTCTAAATATAGAGGGATTCAATCTAAGTGTTTGTGGGAGGGCAGGTGTGTATTAAACTGAGCAACCTAGATTCAATGACAGAAAGAGACTGAACAAGGAGGGCAAGGACTCACTCTGGAAAATAAAGGAAAACTTGAAATATAAGCTGGATTTTAGTTAGTGCTTTGGCACTTTGCCACCGGTCATTGGAGACTGCTTTTGGACCTCACAAAAAATGTCTTGGTTTTAGGGCTAGAGGGCACATCGGATTCAAAGGGTAATCACTGAAATCCTACCATATGTACATCCTTATCAGAGGAAAACAAAAGATAATCATCACCTCTGGGAGAAACAAATGTTATCTACCAAGTTTAGCTGTTCAGGTTTCGATGTTGAATGTGCAGCGCTCCTCTGTGACCTCTAAACGTGCTGAGTAGGGGGTCTAAAGAAGCATGGGCAGAAGGAACTGAACAACCTGACCTCTCCCAGGGAAGGGGACAGACAAAGAGGCAGTTGCTCTTGGTGTCTGAGTTCAGCCCAAGCTACACTTATCCAAGAGAGAGCGGCCAGCTTTGGTAAATGACAGCATGTAGAGCAAGTACCAGCGTGGTACCACAGGGTCTGCGCTTGGCAAGAGCACACGGTGGAGAAGTGAGTGTGTATGGAAGGGAAGGAAGAAACCAAACGCTTCCAAAGTTGACTGATGCCAGTAAGTGCCCTCAGGATACCAGATGGGGAGCGCTCCAGGGAAATGGCTGGGAGTATAAATTTGAAACAGGACGATCAAATAAAGTGGGCTTTTAAAAATAGCTTGTTCTCTCAAACTTTCCAAAACAGACCTTCCTTTATATGAGTGATATTCTGAGTATAGATTATATCTTCTCCTATTTTACAAATTAAGAAATACTGAAAATTGGCTGGCAAAGTTTATTACCTTGGCATCTACTTAAAAAGAGAGTTTCAGTTTTAACTGTATATGTGTATCCATTCTCAGTGCTTGGGAGGCAAACATGCTGGTTTGTAAACAGCCCAGTTACTCCTTTTTCCCCTCCAGATTCTTTGGAAACTCATGACTTTTCAGCTCAGGGAGCTGCTTTGCTCACACTGTTGGGTTTTTGTCAGCTTTAAATTAATGTTCTTGGATGGATATTCTCTGCATGTGGCTTGAATGACACGCTTTCTTCATGGATCTATTTATTCTCAGACTGATTTTTTGCTTTTAACCAAAGCTTGCAATATTGAACAGTAGAGCTGTGTGAACTTTCTAATATCCAAACTGCACTGGAGTTTGTTATGTTTATTGATTTCCTGGGAAAGCTCAGAGAACGAGACCGTATTATTTTGCTAAGTTTTTTTTTTCGTGTTACCATGCATCAAAAAACCACACACATCTCTCACTTCCATCTCTGAGCACAGAGAAGACTTGAATTTTAAGAGCTGTCCAGGATCTCTGCTCTCCCAGCTGCTTTTGGGTGGCTTCTTGGGGCTCCATTGAGTTATTATCCACCAGCTGATTCTTGTTATCAATACAATGTTTTGCCCCACTACCCAAAATTAAAGGCAGAAGGTGAGTGAAAAACAAACAAACAAACAAACCAAACAAAAAAGTCTTTTGTGTCTCATTAAGCATTTTCATGTAATCTCTCCATATAGTTTTTAAGTTCTTTGCACTCCCCCAGGTCCATATCCTGGCAGACCCATTTAATGTCATCCTCACTACTCATCAAGATTGAGTTGACAGTTGGACACCCATCATCTGAGGAGATGGTAGTAAAGGTGGTGAATTTAACCCGTTTCCTCTTAGAGGTAGGAGAAGTAGTTGGTTCACTTTTCTGTTCTTTCCCTTCAGTGAATGTGGACTCAGCAGACCTGAAAGATTGTCCATTAATATTTTTGGCGGCATTTGTGTTGAGGAGATATTTGCTCTCTTCATAGTCCACTCCTCTGTCAATGGCTGTGATACGTTCATCTTGTTGGGATGAGAAATTTATGTGATTCTCCAGAAGTTCTGTCCTGTTGCTCAGCCCAACCCAGTCATGAGAGTGGCTCATGCCTTCTTGTTCTTCAAAGGGAACTTGTTTGTTTCTGTACTTCAAAGCAAAAGTGACACAATTGATAAGGAAGACCAGAATTGCCAGGCAAAAGACTCCCAGAAGAGCATACATTCCTATCTCCAGATCGCTGAGTCCCCTAGGGGTCTGGACTAGGTCATTCTCTTCCAAGTCTCCATTGTTTCTTGGCAGATCCACCTGTGCAGGGAAGCTTGTGAAGTCTATTGGGATGTTCTGCAGATGACTGTCATCATCCAGGAGGCTTTCTCTGTCTTCTTTTTTACTTAAAACAGACCTTTGAGTGGTGGTTCCTTTGCCTTGCTCATGGCCCATTGAGGAGCTGTAATACTGGCCATCTGGCCCAGCTCTTCCCTGCAAAGTGTTTTTTTGACGCCGGTCACTGGCATGATTTTCTAGGTGGACACCAGCACCCCTGAGTTTACTGTCACTGATGTTAGGGCTGGCATCACTCTGCCCAAACTTGACTTTAATGCTACCACTTCCAACAGCTAGGATGCTCTTTCTTTTGGATTTCTGGCATGATTCACTGATCACCATCTCTACCTTCACTAGTGTCCCCTGGCCTTCTGTCTCAGCAGCAATCACAGGCCACTTGAATTTGGGGTCATGGTGAATGGAGACCACCTTCTCATCTAGAGATGTAGCTGACAAGGAGAAGTCTTTGGAGTCATAAATATCCAGAGGCATGACAGACCCATCACTGAACTGGATCCAGCAGCTGATGGCTGCTTCCTATAATGTATAGAACAAATATACGCACACTCAGAATAAACATCGAGGGAAATATGTTCTGTTCTGGTCTATTCCCTCCTCCTCACAAGATCCATATACCATTTATAACCAGAAAAGATATAAAAATGGAAAGCAATAAAATTAATATCTTGCCAAGATGTGGAGAGAAATACTAGTTTAAAACACTCATAGGTAATAAGATTTGTTTCCCCAAAGGTGCTTAAAGGAGCTGTATCCCCTGGGCTCTGCAGAATCTACTTCAGCACCATAATAAATTGCATGTCAGAAAGCATTACCAGTGACTGAGATCATTTACTGTTGTATATTTAAATGAAAAAAAAATTTACATTATTTCTAAACTGCTTAAAATACAAAGTCTCCTCTTATTACACACAACACATGTTAAAAAATATCTAACATAGCGAGTAGGTCCACACATGGCTCCACATCTTCAGTCCTTGATTTTTGTCTCTCAAATTAAATAAATATTTTGTACAAGCAGAGGAAACCAATCAGTTGTTACTTTAGGAAATGGCCAGGGTAATTTTCATGCTTGTTAGTAATTAAAAGCAAGACAATAATAAAGTTTAATCTCATGTCACAGCAATGCAGATTGTATACTTCAGAGTGCATGGAGGCTTACTGAATGTAAATGGGTCAGACCTGGGTACTAATTGTGTACTTGCACGTGTGTAATGCTGCAGCATTCCTGGGAACCTTGACTTTTGGTTGCTAACTTGAAATATTTTAAAGTATTCTTATACTGCAGAAAACATGTGCTCCCCCATTTCTGAAAATCAGGTCTTCTAAGGACTCTCAAATGGCTGTCAAAAATTGTCATATTACCTGAAAATTCTTGTCAATCACACATCAATCATTTACAGTTGAAATTCAGATTGCTCTCCTGGAACCTAATTCTGGCTTCTGACGGTCTGACTTGCTCTGTTTTGGCTGGGATATTTGCACCTTATTAGACACTGGAGAATCCACACCAGAAAGACTTCTGGCTTGATGAGTGGATTCTGCGGTGTCTAAAATGAGGTGAGCTCTTGTCTGGTAAGAGTTGGGATCACCCCGCTCTGAGAAAGAGCCTGGCAGACAGACAAACACCCAACCAACAGATTAATAACCATAGTTGTGGAAAGTGTGATTATAAAAGCCTTGTTTCTTTAAATAAGCAGTTTTTCAAACAGACAGTATTTACATTCAAACTCTGTATATAATACAGAGAATAAATATATATGATAATCTTTTATATTGTTTCTAGCATATAGTCATTCACCTGTTCAGGTCATGGAAAATAAGCCTCCAGTCTTTTGGGATTGTATAATCTACTGGCCTGATTCTGAAATCCTTACAGCCATAAAGCTCCCCATGCCTCAATGGGAGATTTGCTTCTGTCTGTATTTCAGGACAGAGCCCTAAGACTTTGCTGACACTGTCATAAATCCCGGCTTTGTGTTTATTAATCTTTGGATATTTCTTGAAGGCTGCATAGAATTTATGTCATCAACTCTCATCCTCCCACTGTGTTGCTTAAACCTGCATAATCATTTAATAATTTTGCACTGCTTTGATTATAGGGATTGTGCTCTGAAAATCATGTACTAAGCAATGGAAGGAATCAGATGCCTTTCAAAACGGAGTCAGCCCTTGAAGGGTGGAAAGTGCACATCTTCCTCACTGGTTTAATACTGGTCCAACATTGTTCTGACTGTACCCCTGCATCCAGACTCCATTTCTGGGAACTGAAATGTCAGTGCTGGGCAGTATACTGGGACTAAATGCCATCAACCCCAGATTTTGGGTTGATTTCAAGGTAGTTCGTTTAACTCCCCATGTCAGCAATGGATTAGCTCACTGGCCTTATTTCTAGCTGCCTGGCATTGATTTCTTAACTCTTGGAACACTGTGGGAACCTGATTTTTACCACCCTATAAAGACAGTAGTTCTGCATTGTTTCTTATGCTGCATCCCAAGGATCACACCCTATGATGAATTAAAGCATCTCAATAGTTGGCCAGATTTCAAACGTGCATGCCATGATCATTTACCTTTAAAGCTCAGAACACGTTTCAGTGTTAAGAGCACAGTGCATCCTTGATGTAAGTCCCAGACTGATGGATTTGTGTTGAAAAAAAAAGTTTAAATTTCAAATGTAGACAGAAACACAAGGACAGATATCAAGCAGGGACCGATGGGGACATAGTGAAGTCCAAAAGCCCTTGGTAACTGCTGGTTCCCTAATACAGGGACTAAGAATAACAGGGAAACAAAAATTGGTTTATGAAATCATGAATCAGGAAATGAGTCAATGATGCTGATTCATATTCTAGTAATGAATCAGAATGGAAGGGATGTCCCCCAACCTCTTAACATGCTCACAGAAAGTAACTAAAGGAAGAAGAGTTTGGCACTACGCAAAACACTTTCTCATTTAAAGATTTGCTTAAAGGGTTGATTCGGTTGCCTGTGGTGCAAGGCTGAACCCTGCAGTCTAGTTGGCAATATTTTCTGCGATCTAGTAGGTGCTGGATGGGACAGAAAGGGAGTGTGTGTGTAAGGGGACTGCTGTTGCTTAATTATGACACATCATTGAGTTCCATGTGTTATTCATGGCTTGTTTAGACAGCCTGTCTGTTGACTGGGGTTGTTCAGACACAGAGCCATTTTTGTTTCTCTGTTAGGGCACCTGGTGGCATTCAGAAAGAAAGTGCCCATAAGGGAAACGCTTTATTAGGATAGTGTTAATAAAAATCTGCTTGATTCCACCAGCTTATAAAGTTGGATGTAGTGAATCAGAGTGGTGTCCTCCCACAACAACAGTACATGTGGGCAACAGTACCTGCTTTGGAGACTGCAGTAGCTCTTGTGCTACTGCTGTAGCAAAGATGGCCTTATTGCTTCCCGGACTGAGCTGCAGAGAAAGCGACAATCCAGTCACCAGCTGCACTCCCAGGTCAGTTATTGTCACCTTTTCGTCCAGAACTGTCACTGTCTTCTCAGCCAAGATAGCATCTGAAAGGGGGGACAATATCTGAAAAGAAAAATTGAAGTTAGCAACGGCCATTTTGCATAGCACCAAGCAAAACAGCTACACAGAGATACTGTCACACGGATAAGTGATACTGATGTTAACGGGCAGAATTACTCTTAGGAGACAGACACTACTGAAATATGATTAAAAAATAGCTAGTCACATTTTATAACTCTTCCGCAATAACAGGGTGCTTATAACATCTTTTACCAATGCAATTCTAATCAGCTACACCATTCACCTCTGTGCTACGCTAACTGCATCTGTTTCAGATGCATTAACTGTTGGTAAATGTAATCTTTATGAGAAATGCAATTACTTTATTAATGATCATGTTTTTAAGTAGCATATAATGCAATCTGCAGATTTGCATAAAATACATAGAATAAATGGCATTTATTTCTATCCTATAGAAAGAAATCTAATGTATTGCTGCAATAAACACTCATATTACTGTATACAAAATTGATGCAGAAAACTTAGTTTGGTTAAAAATACGTGCATGCTACATGACATCCAAAGATGCTCATTAGCAAGCAAGTTGAATTTAATGATCCATATAAGGCACAGAGTGTTTTGGAAGCAGTTTATAAGACGTATTCTTTAAATATAACTTGCTTTCTTGGATTTTTCTTTCCACAGTTTTGTGTGCATTTGTAGGAACATTGTAAGTCCCAGAGCTTTGGAAAGTCATTCAGAAAATCTTTACAGATTGTGCAGAAAGTCAAAATCTCGAATCTCATTTCTTCAGCCCTAACAACCTCTTATTGACATGTGTGGTTGATGTTTTCTGGTTTGACAGTTTGGGATGATGAGCATGTTTGGAGAGATGGACTTTTTTTTCCTGTTCAAGTGCTTGTTAACATGTTTTCTACTTTGTAGTATCACTGGATTAATCTCTTTTCTTCTGGGACCCCATTTTCTAGGCCAGTATTTCTCTGCACAGCAGAAAGAACTGTATGTGAAAAGCTGCCAATGACATGATGCATAGGTTTAGGTGAGTTACTTCAGAGTGGGTACATTAAGGCATAGCCACACATACGGTGATATTTTTAGGCCATATTGGCTGAAACTGGTGAAACTAAATCTGCATCCCTGGAGAACATAGTCATCACTAATCAGTCAGTCTTTTAACATCATTCTAGAAGCACCAATTGTTATTATCGCTTTGTGTGTATTCTGAAATGCACCCTAACGTTTGTATTTTGTAACACACTGCTTGAGCTTGCAAAGTGTGCAGGGATTTGAACCCATGGGACTCATATTCCAGTCTCAGTTCCTCAACCAACACTAGTTAATTTTTACTTCACCTTTTGCTTCTGTCAGTGCAGGCTTTGAGAAGACTGAGCTGTTTCACCTGCTGCATGCCTTGTGATAGCTCATATACTGGCTCCAGCTACAAAACAAGTCTTAGAAAAATAATCAGAAATAGCCTCCAAGCACACAGGTTGGGCTATATTTACTAAGAGTTCAATCTACATATTCAGAGGTACAAGATAAGAAGAGAAAACCATTTCTTCTGTGTCTTCCAGTCCTTGTCGCAATTCTGCTCCATTCAAAAATTTATGGCTTCAATTTCTGTTGCTAATACAAGAAACTGCTCTACACCTCATCAGTCCTTTGGTTCCCAAAGTGGCAGGTTAATGGAGGAAAAGGACTCAGTAATTAATTTTCCCTACCTGAATTGTCGTCATTCCAAGCTCCTGCCCAATCAAAACCTGTCCATCCTGTAGCTTAGCGATTCTTGGCTCCTCCACCTGCATGAAGTCACTCACCAGGTCGGTAATATCAATCTGCCAGTCAGAACCCAGTAAATAGCTCAGCTGGCCACCGGGGTCTGAGGGTTCAGCTACAAACTGTGTGAGGACTCGCACCATCGCATGTTGGTACTGAAGGGCGCAGCCTCTTCCCTTACGTTCATCCTCTTCTTCGTCATCACTGTCCCTGGCTGGTCTGGTAGGACACCAAGAATAAAAAATTAATTTAAACTGGTGCTGGCAGAGCTTGCAACAAGAGAGCTATTGCTGACATAAGTCTGCAGCCTAGTTGCTGGAATAAGGGGCCTTTGCCCCCTTTCGTTGCTCTGCTGAAGCTGGTTCCTTCGGTGTATTTCTGGAGTCGGTCAGGTTCCCACAACTTTATCCTGTTTCCCTTGTTCATAACTGAGACCTCCAGGCTACCTAGATCTCCAAAACAGCTGCTGAAATCACCAACCAGCCTGCTAGCTTCGCTACCACATTGTCCCCTCCAAATTTCTTTCATTATTTTCCATGTTAAGTCCTTACATTCAGGACCTTCACACTTTTTCCTTTCTGGATCTTCCCATAAACATCTTTGTGTTGCTATGGAAATCTCCTCTGTCTACATCTACATACACATCCCTTTCTGTGTGGCATTCTGGTTGAAATCATAACTCCACCAAAATCCCCGTCTCTGTGCTGTGATACTAACAGAAATCTGGTAGTAAATGGTGTCTTCATAGGTAGGTGGGAATAGTAAGTACTTTATCAATTTGTTGTTCTTGATCTTAATAACACTGACAACAGATACAAACAGTCTAGATCTGCGTACATCCATCCTCTGTCCTGTCATTCACACGCCACTGAGCTGTGGGCATGGACAGTATCTTTAAAGGCCTAGTGGGTCAATGTCCTGACTTTGGGACACTGATCAGTGCCACTGGACCCTGCAGTGACATGAAACAAGCACAAACTATTTATGACCACTAGCAACAAATAAATTAACTGTCAGGACCTGTGAACCAGGCTGGAGACCTGCCAGTCTTGCCAGAGTTGGTCCTTGTTGATGTCTTCCTGCTGCCTCATGGCTGATCCTGCCTAAGTGGACCAACTGGCTCTTTCCATCTCAGTCACTAGTGCTATAAAAGGGAATTGATTTCCAATGTGGGATCATGCAACCTGCAGTTTCCATTTCCCTCATAAGTCCAGCACAGGAGCCTATTGAATAAATGTCTGGTGACCTTCAAATTTACACCGGAATTGCATTAAGGCCAAATGACCATGTTCAGATTCACTGGCCCTGACAGGTCTTTGGCAAATGCAATGCCCAGAATGAACGTCTAATGAAACCTACCTCTTATTAGAGATGATGGGGACTCTCCACCCCTTGATCTGATTTAGTTCTGTGTCAGAGACCTCTATCTGCAGCGGGAGACGAGGAACCCAGACTGTCATTTCTAAAGGGGCACTCAGATGCTGGTAAGTAAAATTAACTATGACATTCACTTTGCCTTTCATTTCCTTCCCGTTGACAAAGACATAGTCACATCTGTCAGAAACCTGAAAAAAGGAGAAAGAAAAAAATATTAATGAGTCTCTTCACAAATTATAAAGTACATCACATGCTGGGAAAGTGAGTGGGAGGAAGAGAAAGAATGTAGGTTTAAACTAGCTCCAAGTTCAGAGGACAACTAGGAATAACAAGAAAGGTGCCTGGTGTGCCCTTAATAGCCTGTATAATTTGGCATCATTTTAACAGGCAGCCTTTTTCTTCTATAAACATTCCCAGTATAATCTAAGATGAAAGAACAGCTTCTTTCTGTCCTTAATTTCCACTCCAACACTAGGATAGTCCTAGTGTAATGGCACCGAGAGAAGATTCTTCTCCTCTCCCCAAGGCTCAGTCAGACTATACTATCCTCCTCCTCTACTTTATGTGCAGCCCGAGGAATACCATATACCTGCAGGGAGGAACAGGTAACCGCCTGTATGCAGAACTGAGTAGGGGATAAATTTCTCTAGTCAATGCCAAACTGAGACAAAGGGCTCTTCAGGAGTCCTGTTACAGGTGTCAGGGCATGGGGTGGGCACATCAACCAAAAACTAATCACAGGGAAAAGCTCACTGATGCCCAGTGGCATTCGTTGGGGCCAAACAGCTTCATCTCTGCTGCAAGCCTGACAAAGGCCTTATACAATGTTCTGCTCAAACTAGTCCTGATGTCACTTTATTTATTACCTGGAGCTCTGGACATCAATATCGCTGAGAGTTACTAAATCTCACTCAAGCGATTTAGCAGCTATTGCAAAGGATCTAGGTGAGCTGACAGGACCTGTTCATTAGAGCTAGTTAAAATATATGAATAAATGTACACATCAAATAATTTATTAACCACCACTTTACAGTGCTGATGATCTGAAGGAATGATCTATTAAAACCCTGAACTCTCTTCACAATCCATTACCAGCCAGACTTTCTATTCCATTCTTTAGATGTATTTAATATTTCTGACTCCAGAACGCAGTCTCATCCTCATCTGAATTTAATGCCATTTTCTACTTTTCTGTTTAAATGCTAAATGAATTTAAATCGTATTTAAATATCACCAGCTTTTATAGGATAATTTGCATTCCTAATATTATTATCTTTAAACAACAACAACCCCCCTTACAGACAGATCCATAGCAAATCCATTTCCATCCTTGCTTGTCTGAGCCTAGGTAACGTAACAGAAAAGGTTATCATGACTCTTGCAATGTCTCTCTTGCAAGCAATGTCTGGTTTAAGGTCAAAATCTTATAGTTGCCATTGGTTTCAGCAGTAAAATAAGGAGTTTATTTACAGGCAGAATTATGTTTGTGGGGATATTGCCATGTTAGCACGTTTTACATTACCTCTTCATGGCTCCTGTCAGGATCCAATCTCATTGTGCTACACACCAAGAAAATCTAGTTGATGTCAAAAAAGCCTCAAAGCACAGGGGTATGCAAGGTAAGGGAAGGACCTCACAGCAGGCAGCTGAGCACAGACAAGTCCCAGCTCCGACTGGGGCCTGTGGCACTAATGTAACATCCACTTCATCATAATGCTGATCCAAACTGGCCTGAGCTGAGGAAGATGAGACTCTGCAAAAGTCCAGGAGAAGCTCACTGTAAGCCTGCAGAACTGGCTATAGGGAAGGCTGGAAGCATAAGCCCGTTCCCCTTCTGGGAGCTGCATGGCTGGGCAGCAGCAAGAGAGCAGACATTATTCTTGCACCCTTGCAGAAGGTGTACTAACGTGAGTGTACTATTTTCAGGGCAAGAATTGCACTGTACTTCCTACCTGCAATGTCTAAGAGCCTGTCCAACAGGCAGGAGGTCAAAAGTCCTTCAGGCAGTGCCTGGTACCTCTGCTCCTTCTCCCACCCTCTGGGGTACTTTGCTTCTGTGAGTGGAAATTGTTTGCTTCTTGCTGGTGCTGCACTTATCCCTGTTGCCTTTTTGTATTTTAACTGCTCTTCTCAAACCAGACCACTCTCCTATGCACTAATAAGCTCCATCTGCTGCTTTCTACCTTTCCTCTTTTCCCTATTATGCCAGTGAGAAGGACTGGGCAGAGTCTCAAAGTGCTAATTTCCACCTAAGAGGCAACAGATCGAAGCTGAAGACAAAGTGGCCCCAAGGAAAACATTCAGCCTGGCGGCTGACTGCCCCGAGGGACTTCACCTGACTTGGTGCACTGCAGGCTGGACAACACCTACAAGTGAACGGCCTGAAGACAAGGATTTTCTTTAGTAGCACATGGGCCAGGTAATACCTTTCAGTATGACTTCCCCACCACCTCTGCTTCCAGCTAGCAACACCTTATACTCATGAATATTAGCTAATTAACACATTAGGCAATTAAATTAAATGTCCCCATAGGTGATCAACCTAGGACTGAAAACATTTCCTCATGATTTAAGGTAACAGGTAAACTTCTGTCCCTTGCAGCCCAGAAATCACAGTTGAGGGATGTTCCAAACCAGAGCAGGGTGCTGAGCCCCTGGAGCTCTGCTCCCCAGCAGACCTCTCCTGCCTTCCCTGCATGTCCTCTCCTCTGCACTTGCAACAGGGCTTCGAGCAGGGGACCTGCCAAACAACCTCCCACCAGGGTAAGGCTTCACTGTCTGAGCAGGGGCTTTTGAAGCACGCATAGATAGCACAGGTTGGTTTTATTAGCCTGTGCGTGTGTGTGAAGAGCAGTTCAGCACACAGGGGCTGGAACAAGGCTGAGACTCTTCTAGGCGATAGAGGTAACTACTGAATTATCTAGTAAGAGATGGGAATCACTCTCAGATTTAAAATTCATTAATGCTCAAGCAACAGCAAGAAAAAGAAAATTTGGCAGGCAAACAGACCTCGGTTCCAATTTATCAGGATTTACTACAGAAAGAGAGAATTAAAAAATGAATCCATCCCTTAAAATCTACTATGTGAATGATTAAACAAATACCATAACCTTGTGTTCTCAAGATTATGATTTATAAACCAAACTGATGGTCAGGAAAAGAATGACTAGGCCTGGGATACCCACTTTCTCCTGTTTCCCTTTCTGTAAGTGAAGACGGCAACAACTATGAGCTCATTCAGTTCCCAGCCAGCCCTTCACTGTTTGAATGAATAAGCGTCACTGTTCTGCTGCAGTTTGCATGCAGTCCTAACAGAGCAACATCAAAACATGGTGTAAAGTACAGTACATTTTCATAAATCAGGCCAGGACATTCAGAAACAGGTCATCAATAGAAGGCAGATTAGCCATGCCCGTGTTACTGCAGACACATCCGAACCATTCATCTTCCAGTAGAGAAAGCAGAAAAATCAAGCTTCTCTGTCTCTTTTGAGTTGTCTAAGCTGTTTGTTGGAAAAGAGTGAATATTTAGTGAAATGAGTTTGATGGGACTCTGCTGAGCTTCTGCAGGACAAATATGCACATGAGCAAAGACCCATCAAATGCAGCTCAGCAGCTGGCAGCCTCCGGGCAGTCCCCGTGTCTGACACAGGCGACCGGGTCCCCCCTTGCATGGCTTCTCCATGTTAATGTTGATGGGGGCAGCACAGAGAAGCTTCTGCTGCCACTGCCTTTTCTGAGCCTGCAGGTCTCCTTTTCAATCTGTAATGGATTTCGATTCCTCAGTCTGTCAAGCAGCTCCTTTTCTTTAGCGTTAATTCATATAAACAGCCTTTAACTACCAGCCCTCCTTCCTGTACTACAGCTCTTGCCTTACACGCCTCGCCACACACAACAGAGATGGCTCTGGTTCAAGTTTATTAAACGCATGAATGCAGTGACTGCACATACCCTCGGATATGTGTGCGAGAGCGTGCGAATGAAAGAAAGGGTCTGTGCTAGAGCAACAAACAGCTCCCCGACAGTTAGTTATTAAAGGAATTATGATGTTGCACCAGCTTGATCCCGAACCAGACAGATTTCAGAAAACTATTAAACACATCATAAAATGCAACAGGAACTACAAAGGGGCTGGAGCAAAGTGGGTGATTTGTGGGGAAAACCAATTTGTTTTCGTTCCAAAATCCGAGGACTCCCACCCATATCTCCTTTTCCTTTCCTCCTGCCTTTGAGATCTGACATCTCAGGGATGGCAAGTCCAGTTTTCAGTAAAAGTGACAAGGGCTCAAGAGAGAAACAGTTTTCTTTTACTGCTAATGTACTGCTGAAATACATCTTTCTGTGTTGTGGCCACTGTAATTCAAGGGCATTATAATGCCATTAAACCCTTCTGGTGCTGTGCTCCCTTGCTAAAGCCTTTCTGGGCTTTGTGTCACTCGAGCTTTTTACACAACTACACTGAGCTGCCTTCCATTAATTAAGGGAGACTGTACTTAGTGCTCACAAGATGCTCCAGAAATTCCCTCAGTACAGGGGACTTTCATCTCTTGAGGGAACTGGGGTTTGAATGGCTTTTTTGGGCATGAACTTCGTAGGTTATAAAAGTGCTCTGGGTTTCATTTGGCTCCTGCAGCTCCACCTCTTTTTCTTACATCGGTGAACAACTCAGACAGCTTCCTCTGAGTCACACGCACATATCTAATCTCTGTGCGCCAGGGCAGCAGAGGTCAGAGGTCCCTTATTGCCAGCACAGCATAGAATTAAGAATTAGATTTCTATGTGCGCCATGTATATACCAAACACGTGGCTTCTGGCAAGCTGGGTGTTGAGTTCAATCATTAATGCTACAAAATGTGCAGAGTGGAATATTTCAAATGGGCTCAGCATTGCACTTAATTCAAACCCTTAGTCCTATTGTCAGAAATGGGAATAAAGTTAAGTCACTGCTCTTTCCTACCACAAAATCCTTGCTGCACATGTGCCTTCCTCAGCCCCACGTGCAGGTCTGTACGTTGGGTACCCCAAAACAGAGCCCAAACCTCAGCTGGTAGTGTTGCAACTGTGAAAGTGATGCTGCTCTGTTACTTTAACGCAGGTCTGTTTCCTTGGCAAACAAATATTGACCAGAAAATGAGGGGGGCATTGCTGGTCCAAGGCACCTCTTTTTTATGTTTACTTAAAAGGCCTGC